AGGTGTTGTTTCACCTCCTCACCGTCAGCTTTAACTGCTTCCCGTCCGCCCTATAGCAGAAATACTGCTATAGGGGGGCACGGGTGCGCAAAATCACGTAAATATACGTGATTTTGCATTTCCGGGTAGGGGGCAGCCGTGGCTGTCGATCACTGGGCCCCGGCCAATAATTACTTGCCAGCACCCAGAGTTTTCCGAGGTGTTCTGATGGGGAGGAGGATTATTTCGTTTACTAACAGTCCTCCTCCCTGTTAGCTCAGGCACACTACTTTGGATGGCTGTGCACAGCACAGTGGTAAAAGGCCGCTGTGATTGGCCTTTTACCACATCACGTGATCAGCTGTGTCCGTAGGACACAGCGATCATGGAGATCGCCGGGTGCGCGCCCCCTGGGGCGCGCAGGAGAGCGCGTTCTGGGAGGACGTCATATGACGTCCACCCAGAACTGGCCGGCCGCAGTGTAGCCGTCATTCGGCTATCTGCGGTCGGCAGCTGGTTAATAGCAAAAAGTCGAAAATATTGTTTTTTCCTCAAAATTGTCGGACTTTTTTCTTTATAGCGCAAAAAATTTGAAATGCACAGGCGACCAAATACCACTGAAAGAAAGCTCAATTTGTGGGAAAAAAAAGGATGTGAATTTCATTTGGGTGCAGCGTTGCATGAGCGCACAAGTAACTCAGCGCTGTAATGCAAAAAATGGTGGTAAATCCTTTGGAGGGCAAGTGGTTAACTCCTAGAACCCCACACTAGTGCACTGGAACTGCATACATTGCATGCAGTTGTGGGGTGTTTGCAGAGGTGCTCCATCACTCGAATGGGTCATGTTTAGCAGGCACTGCGCCAACAGAGTATATATGTAAATTCCTGCCACAGCCACGAAGCAAAATATCATAGTGGCAGCATGTGTACACCCCCACCCTGTGTTGCCAACCATACATAAATTTATAGACAGTTTTGTAAAAAACAGGCACTTTTCTCTTGTCCATAAATGTTCACAGACAGGAGAAAAGTGCCCATAAAAAACCCCCTTGCCATGGGCTCTGAACTGTGCATTTACAGTACTGCAGCAGCCAGCCAATTAGAGAACTGGGTGTGCACCTGCGCAGTGACATCATGGACACTTTTTAGGTATGGCTTATATTCACACACCCCACCACAAAAGTTGAGACTGAGCCCAGCAGTTCATTGATTGGCTCGCTTTTGGAACTGTGCATTCACAGTTCAGAGCCGACAACAAGGGCATTTTTTTTGTAAGCCTTTTCCTGCTAGCTGCCCACCAGTGGTTAAAGTATGTTTAAAAGGGTCACTTTGCCAAACTCTGATGTAAGCAGGGGACTCTGCCAGAATCTGATGTAAGGGGACACTCTGCAGATTCTGAAGGGCCATTCTGCAGATTCTGATGTAAGAAGGGGACTCTACCAGACTCTGATGTAATGGCCACTCTGCCAGATTCTGATGTCAGAAGGGGACTCTACCAGAATCTGATGTAAAGGGACACTCTGCCAGACTCTGATGTAATCAGGGGACTCTACCAGAATCTGATGTAAAGGCGCACTGCCAGACTCTGATGTAAGCAGGGGACTCTGCCAGAATCTGATGTAAGGGGACACTCTGCAGATTCTGAAGGGACGTTCTGCAGATTCTGATGTAAGAAGGGGACTCTACCAGACTCTGATGTAATGGCTACTCTGCCAGATTCTGATGTCAGAAGGGGACTCTACCAGAATCTGATGTAATGGCCACTCTGCCAGACTCTGATGTAAGAAGGGGACTCTACCAGAATCTGATGTAAAGGGACACTCTGCCAGACACTGATGTAAGCAGGGGACTCTGCCAGAATCTAATTTAGGGGCCACTCTGCAGATTCTGATGTAAGAAAGGGACTCTATCAGAATCTGATGTAAGGGGACACTCTGCCAGACTCTGACCGACTCTGTGTAAGGTGGTGGCACTTTGGGGACACTGATGTAAATGTGGCACTCATCCTAACTATTGCATTCCATATGTTGCTTTGTATATTACTTACACCTAACCTCTGTACTCTGTACATTATGCATTGGGATACAGTAAATAAACCTGACCAAGGTGTTCATTGTCTCAACAGTTGTTGGTTTTAATGAAATTCTTCCATATGCTAGGCTCATTATGGCAGTCTTTACATTAGTAGTTTTTTGTTCAACACCGGGATTCCCACATGGATGCGGAAATCACTCCTGCTGAGGTATTGTGTTCTGACAGCGGAGAGACTTATCACTCAGAACTGATAATGCTGCCAGTTATAACTGGTGATGCTGATCGTGTGGAAACTCTCCTAGAGGCTGCTTGTACAGAAGCCGATCGGTACACTGCCCTACAAACTGCTGATTCCTGCCCTCTGTTCTGCTAAACCCTATCCTCTGACATGTTGACCCCCAGTACACTCCACTATTGATTCCTGTTTTTGTACACTGCCATGCAGACCTCATATCCTGTGCCCCCCTGACATTTTATACCCCCATATCATACTGGCTAGATCCGGCCCTGGTGGTCGGAGGGACCAGTATCTAGAGCAGCAGTGCTAATGAAGAGTAGCCAGGTGGGCTAGCATTTTTGTGTATACTTTTCTGGAGTAGAACCCCTGCATGGGAAACCTTGTGTTGGACGTTTGTTTTTTGCCTTTCTTCTTAATAAAAGTTGGCTACCAAGCCTTGAAATATAGTTTCTGACTGGAGTGAACTCACTTGCAAACGCATCTGCCGCTGAGCTAAACATCCCTCATGTCACACCAGACAGTTTCTGTTACACTGTTCCTTCTCAACAAGAACCTTTCCCTATGCTAAGCAATGTCCTCAACCAGCAGGTTCCTTTCCCTAGCCTGTCAATTTGCTCACAGCGTTCCTGAATGGGGGGGGGGGATCCCCTATTTAAAGGCTTCCCTGTTAAGATGGCTGCCCAAACTCTTGTGGGAATTTGGTATCAAGAGAGGACTAACGGTGTCTCTAAAGGGACAATTTCCCTTAATAGACTCCCCTTCCCTCTTGTAGTATTGGCACAGTGCCACCTACAGGACAGAAGGATGCCCACACCTGCCTACACTGTGCATGGCCAGCTAACCAGGAATGTCTCTTTTTTGCTCTGCTTTTGCAGTTAAAGTAATACTAATGCTTTGGATTTTTTTTTTCAAAATAACAAACATGTCATGCTTACTTGCCCTGTGCAGTAGTTTTGCACACAGCAGCCCCAATCCTCTTCTTTTCGGGTCCCTTGCTGGTGCTCCTGGCTCCTACCCCCATGAGCAGTGCCCTCAGGGAAAGCCATTTGCGGACTTGCTCCCGAGCCATGGCTCTATGTGTCTATAAAGCACACAGATCCATGTCTCGACCCCGCCCCTGCTCTCTTCTCATTGGCTCACTGGCTGTGATTGACAGCAGTGGGAGCCAATGGGCTCCCACTTCTGTCTCAGCCAATGAGGAGGGAGAGTCCCGATACATCTGGTGCTATTGTGAACATTGCTGGATTGGAGGGGGCTCAGGTAAAGATTTGGGGGAGGGGCTGGGGGGCCTTGCACTCAGAAGGTTTTTTTACTTTTGTGCAAAAAAAATACATGAAGGTAAAAAACCTTGAGCCTTTAGAGTGACTTTAAATATACTAAAAAAAAAAAAAGAAAAAAAAGCTTTGGCTCCGGTCAGAAATTCAGAGCTGTCTAGTCACCTGTGCAAACTTCTCATGTCTTCCACTAGAAATGTGCACGCTGGAAATTTTTCATTTTGTATTTAATTTCAGATGCATTTGTTCATTGAAGAATTTTGTTTTATCACACTTGTTATGTTGAACCGACTCGTTTTCAGAATTCGATTCTTATATCCGTTGGTCTGGGTGGACTCGAAAAATTTAGCAGTTTTTCCAGAAGATTGCTATATATTAGAAATAATATTGAACTGGACGGATTCGAATCAGAAGGATTCGATATTTTCAGACACTAATCCAACCCACCAAGAGAAATGGTATGAGCTGATTGGACAATATCAGCTGGAGTCATATGCATTTGAATTAACAAATGGAACGAAATTCAGATCCATTCACTATCTGAATCCAAATTATCAAACAAATTTGAAAATTGAATTAATTTCCCCATGGGCCCGACTATATGCCTATAGCATCATGTGACGTCACCTGAATGAAACAAACGCATTTGTTAATTTCGTTATAACTTTTTTTGGATTTGTTGATTTGTTCGTATACATCCGAATCTCCGAAAATTCTTATCTTGGACTACAGAATGATTATCCTTTATGTTGTATTGCTCTGACCGTAGGAGTGGTTGAGAGGTTTAGTAAAAGACACAGGGAAGAACTGACAACAGTCCATAAAAAGCTATGTGTTTTCAACCCACAACAGGGCATAAGAGCTGAGTGCATTTCTGCAGATCGACAGGTATTTTTCTGTACTTGCAGGGTCTTTAGCCCTCATGCACACAGGACGTTTTTACAGCGGCTGTTTTTTTGGCTTTTGACGTTTTGTTCTACAGCCAGTAAACTCCCCAGCATGTTATCCTATGTGTCCATGCACACAGAATGTATGCGAGTATCATCTGCACAGAGGACTAATCAATTAGACTGGCTACTGCTAGCAAAATCACAAATGTGTACTGGTGAACAAATATGTGCAAACATAAAAATTGCTGCACTACCTCTCCCAAAAACTACTTTAAATAATTAATTAAATAAATTAATGAACTCCCTATTACACAAAGGGTCCCCACAAATGTGCATGTGCTATAATGCCCCGTGGGCTGGCAATTATATCCCTCCTCCCCAGTGACTAAATCCCAAATAAACCAATAAGTAAATACAAGGTGCTTAAACGACAATAGTGCTCAAAATAGCACATATACAATGCCATGAAACTGTGTATACAGTGAAATTGTGTAAAACAATATATATAATTAACCACCTCCCGCCTGCCATATAGTCCAATGATGGGCGCAAGGTGGTTCTCTCATTCTGGGAGGACGTCATATGATGTCCTCCCATTCTCACGGCACATGCGCGACTCAGGGAGTGCGCAGCGCGGCGATCAGCAGTGCTTGCTGTGTCCCTCGGACACAGCGGATCACCTATCTACGGAAAGAGCTGAAGTTGTCGACTCGGTCATGTGATCAGCTGTGTCCAATCACAGCTGATCACATGTAAACAGGGAAATGCCGGTTATCGGCATTTCTCTCCTCTCGAGCTGTCACGCTGACAGCTCGAAAGGAGAGGAGAGCCGGTAATCTGCATTCCGTGGAGGGGACATGTACACTGATCATTAGAGCACTGATGATCAGTGTGCCCTGATGATCAGTGTGGCCCCAGAAGTGCCACCTGTCAATGTCCATCAGTGCCAGCTGTCAGTGCTGAACAGTGCCACATGCCAGTGCCCATCAGTGCTACATCAATGCCACATATCAGTGCCTACCAGTGCACATTAATGCCACATATCAGTGCCCATCTGAGCTGCCTTTCAGTGTCACCCATCAGTGCCAGTCAGTGCCACCTATCAATGCCAATCAGTGCCACCTATCAGTGCCAGTCAGTGCCGCCTATCAGTGCCAGTCAGTGCCGCCTATCAGTGCCAGTCAGTGCCACCTATCAGTGCCAGTCAGTGTCGCCTAACAGTGCCAGTCAGTGCCAGTCAGTGCCGCCTATTAGTGCAGCATTTCAGTGCCCATCAGTGATGCCTGTCAATGCCCATCAGTGCCACCTACCAGTGCCTCCTCATCAGTGCCCATCACTGCAGCCTCATTAGCGCACATCAGTGAAGGAGAAAAATCACTTATTTACAAAATTTTATAACAAAAACTATGAAAAAACTTTTTTTTTTTCAAAATTTTCTGCGGTTTTTGGTTTGTTTAAGAAAAAATAAAAAACCCAGAGGTGATTAAATGCCACCAAATTTAAAGCTCTATCTGTCACAAAAATGATAAAAATTTCATATGGGTACAGTGTTGCATGACCGCGCAATTGTCATTCAAAGTGTGACAGCGCTGAAAGCTGGAAATTGGCCTGGGCAGGAAGGGGGTATAAGTGCCCTGTAGGCAAGCGGTTAAAGTCCCAATAATTGTGCAAACATATAAAAGTTCAAAAAAAAAATTGAAAGTTCCAAAAAAACCCCCCAAAGAAACCCCCATACGCATCTGGTGTGAATATTAAGTGATACAGTAGTAAATCTTCTTATCCATAGCAATTCTGTGTGCATAGTGCTCCAATTAGTGCTCCCCCTCCAGAGCCCCACTCACCACAGATAATCGATCACCTGGAATGGTAGCTCAAATATCGCATGAGATGTTGCAGCGTTCTCCTGCAGGAAAGTTATAGTCTGTGTGGTCTTGACATCTCTATACGCTGATGACAGACTCCATGGTCGAAACACCTCTAGATCAATCGTTTGTGACAAAACTCCTCCAGAATCTCCACAGTACTCCACCACCGTAAAAACATCAAAGGGAAACTTCATTGCGTAACACTGTATTTAATAGGTAAAAAATATTTTAAATTGCACTTACATAAAAACCATGTGTATGGCACTTTAAACCCCAGCAAAAAGCAATTCCTTCTCAGAGGACAAGTGTAGCGCTATCAACCCCCGCTCTACATGTTTCGTCATATGATGTCATCAGGAGCTATTTTTAGCACTATTGTCATTTAAGCACCTTGTATTTACTTATTGGTTTATTTGGGATTTAGTCACTAGGGAGAAGGGATATAATTTGCCAGCCCACGGGGGATTATAGCACATGCACTTTTGTGGGGACCCTTTGTATATTAGGGAGTTCATTCATTTATTTAATTAATTAAAGTCGTTTTTAGGAGAGGCAGCGCAGCAATTTTTATGTTTGCACACACAGACTGTAATCAACGGTTTTTGGTTGGGATGTTTTTTGGCTGGAAAGAAAAACCCAGGACTAGTGGGTTTCTAGAGGACTTTTTTAGCTGTAAAAACGCTCTAGCGCTGAAAAACATGGTAAAATGCCGCAAACCGGCGTTTTTGGACTTTTTTTGACCAAAAAAAACCTTTAAAAATGCAAAAAAGCAGAAAAAAAACGCTGCTATTCATGGTAAAACGCTGCTAAATGCTAATGCAAAAATGCAAAAAAAATGCTGAAAAACTCAAGTTTTTAACAAGACTTTACACAGTCTTGTTGTGTACATGAGGGTTTAACCACATGCCGCCCAGCCACTGTAGAAATACAGGGCGGCACGGGCAGGCAAAAAAACCACGTTTTAAAACGTGTGTTTTGTAAACAGGTAGGGGGCGTGTGCGAGGCGCGCCGCCGCCCTACCTGTCCCGCCGATCACAGCCGCGGATGTCAGTCGCCGGGTCACAGCTGATCGTTACCAGCTATGTCCCGGCGATTGGCGGCAATAGCTGACAGAGAGCACAGCTGCAGTAGCTGTGCTTTCTGTCAGTTCCCTGACAGCTCCAGGACAAGCTGATCGGGACAGAAGAGTTTCTCTCTCCCGATCAGCAGTGTGCCCTGCAGTACACACCCCGCCCCCTATTAAAACACTCCCCCTCACACAGATAACCCTTCCCTGCAAAATAAAGTTAACCCCTTCCTCCCCAGTGCCATTAGTACAGTGTCAGTGTTTTTTTTTTTGCACTGATCACTGTATTGGTGTCACTGGGGATGTCAGTGACCCCAAGTCAGTACCCCCCAATGTCAGAATGTCCGCCGCAGTCCCGCCATAAGTCGCTGATAGCCGCCATAAGTCCCTGATCGCCGCCATAAGTTGCTGATTGCCGCCATTATTAGTATAAAAAAAACTAAAAATCCCAGTATCTTTCCCGCCATTTGTAAACGCTATAACTTTCACGTAAACCAATTAATTTACACGTATTGGGTTTTTTTTTTTTTTAGTAAAGACGTCTCAGAATGCATTTTGGCAGAAATTTATGACTAAATTTAATTTTTTTTTTACTGGACATGTTTTATAGCAAAAAGTCCAAAATATTGTTTTTTTTCCTCAAAATTGTCAGCTTTTTTTTTATAGCGCAAAAAATAAAAACCGCACAGGCGATCAAATACCACCGAAAGAAAGCTCAATTTGTGGGGAAAAAAAGGATGTAAATTTCATTTATGTACCGTATTGCATGACCGCGCAATTGTCCGTTAAACTAGCGCAGCGCTGTATAGCAAAAAAATGGCGTAAATTGCAGTATCTATACCATAGTTTGTAGACGTTATAACTTTCACACAAAGCAGTCAATATACACTTATTGGGATTTTTTTTTACCAAAAACATGTAGCAGAATACATTTTGGCTTAAATTTATAACCAACTTTGAGTTTACTATATATTTTTTATAGCTGAAAGTAAAAAATATTGTTTTTCTTCAAAATTTTTGGCCTTTTTTTGTTTATAGCGTGAAAAATAAAAAGCGCACAGGTGATCAAATACCACCAAAAGAAAGCTCTATTTGTGTGAAAAAAAGGACGTAAATATTGTTTGGGTACAGCATTGCATGACCGCGCAATTATCAGTTGAATTAGTGCAGCGCTGAGTAGCAAAAAGAGGCCTGGTCATTAAGGGGGGTAAATCCTCTGGAGGTCAAGTGGTTAAAGGGATAAAACGTGGGAAAATGTGCAGGTGTTGCAGAGCTGTTCTTTTTTTTTTATTTTGCCTCAACATACTCTTTCAAGCTTTGTGTATCTGTTAATTGCTGAAACTCCTAATCCATACAGCAAATGTTCTGCTTAGGAATTGTAGAGGATTAGCAAATTATATGATGGATTACAGAACATGAATCACAAAAACTGACCAGGCATTCTGCTTCGTTAACCCTGGTGCTGAGAGATTAGCCAGTTGCATTACTATTTTAAGGTTTGCTGCTGGTTCATGCGTCTAATTTAACTCTGCATAGCAACACCTAAAGGTATGTCAAGACAATGTTTTCTTAGTTTTATAGTGGAACCGCTGTTTGGTTTTTACAGCTATCTGAGGCTGTAGTACATCTGTGTGTTTTATTAAACGGTGATCCCTAAATGTTGGAAATGCATCACACACATTCCAAAATATTATCACCTGTATCTTCTGTGATCAGGTACTATTCAGTCATTAGTCAATGGATGCCCAGAGCAGAGCTACACAATCAAAGCAACTTTCATTCTAAGCAACATTCGTCAACATGGCAGAGTCTTCTGGTTTAATAATTGTGTGAATTCAATGCCAAATTGCTTTTTTGTTTTATTGAGTTTGATATCACAATTGACCCATTGGCAAATAGGTGGTTCACATTGCAATGGAAGTTGCACTTTGAAAGGGCATTTCCCCCAGGGCTTAAAGTGGATTTCTACCCTCCCACCACTTCCATTTTTTTAAAAAAAAACCTGCTTACCAGGTGGTGAGTTCTGCGCATTTCAGATACTCAACCACCCAATGGATGTAGTGTTGTCCAGTGTTATTGAGATCCTCTTCTCTTTTGACATCTGATACCACCATGTTTTTGTGTGACGTCATCAAGAGGCTGCTGGCTGTTCTGAGTTAAGCAGACATATCTCCTGATGATGCCTCTATAGGCCTGTTCCCTCTTCTTTACTAAATGAAAGGCTTTGTCTCCTGGGATATGCATGTCACATAAGCAAAGGGAAAACAGTGCACATCATTTGTCTAGGCCAGGGGTCTTCAAACTATGGTCCTCCAGGTGTTGAGGAACTGCAAGTCCAATGAGGCCTTGCAAGACTGACAGCCACAGACAAGACTCCCAGAGGCAGAGGCATGATGGGACTTGTAGTACTTCAACAGCTGGAGGGCCATAGTTTGGAGACCCCTGGTCTAGGCGAATGATGGGCAGGGCCGGATAATTTATTTAAAAAAATGGTAAAATAAAGAAAAAAAAAGAGTGCTATGAGTGCAGAGGACCGGTGCAAGGGTGGACAGGAGGAATAATATATTTGAGGGTGAAGATCCCCTTTAATGAATGTGGTGAAATTTTGCTGACTTCCATTATCCAGATATGTGCAAGCAAAAATGCTGTTATTTTCCTTTCATATTATTGGGTATTCTTTGCAAAGTGAAATTTCACCACATTCGCTAAGCTCTGACACAGTGCAACTTCCCTTGCAAAGTAACCAGAATTACATAAGGAATAGTTTCAAAATGTAACCTTTAGGTAACCCTATTTGTTAATATACAGAAGCCTGATAGCGGTTACACAGTTGGGACACAAGTGGAGAAGGAATAAAAAGAAACAACAAGGGGAAGATACAAGGGGTACTGCAAAAGGAAAGAAAGATGTATAAGGTAATAAATAGTACAGTGATAAAAGAGAGTCACCCAGTGCTATGGAAATTCAGAAATGAGTCAGCGCATATTTAGGATCAGGTAGGTGTCCCAAGTACCCCATATAGCATTTCATTTGTTCAATATACAGTTGTGCTCAAAAGTTTGCATACCCTGGCAGAAATCGTGACATTTTGGCATTGATATTGAAAATATGACTGATCATGCCAAAAAAACTGTCTTTTATTTAAGGATAGTGAACATATGAAGCCATTTATTATCACATTTTATTTGGCGCCTTTTTAAATCATAGTGATAATAGAAATCACCCAAATGC